TTTTTTAATTTATTTATTTTTTTCATTGTGAAACAAATTCATCAGATCAAACAAATTATTATGCTAATACCATGTTAGAGAGACTAATTAATTTAGTGAATTAAATTGAGGAAACTAAATACTATCAATTCGTCTAATTACTAGTTTTCATAAAGTTGATATAACCTAAGTAAAGTATACTTAATATTATACAATATGAATTTATGAACCATGAAACCTTGCCCCAAAACTATGATTGTAAAGTGAGGCGAGCCGAGAAGAGTCGAGCTTTATTTAATTAAGTATTGATGAGTCTGAACGTCGTAGTACAAAAATTATTATCGTATCTGAACCGAGTCCAACTTTCATAGTTTATTTGAGTTCAAAAGGTATAGATCAACTCGTTTGATCGAACTTAATTAGACTCAAATGTGAATTAATCTTGTAGTATTTGTTATAAACTATGTTCATTAATATGATATATCGCATTTCACGAGTCTCTATTGGTAACGAGTGAGCTTCCGAGCTCTTAATAGAAGCTCACACTCGAAATCATTCAAATGAACAAACTATATAATTTCTAGTTCGAGCCTGGCTCGTTTATCATGAGCTTGAGATTCCAATAATGCCTTAAGCGAGTCAAAATCGAGCACACCACGAATCCTCACAAACCATGCATTCAAATTTCAAATAAACATGTCCTCACGAAAGTTATAAGATGCAATGCATGCTCGAAATACATCAAACTATTGCGATTTTTCGTTCCTTAATATGTTCATAGATACAAAACTATACCTGCAAAAGAGGTGTGAAAAATAGCAGCACAAATGAGGAGAATAAGAAGGCTTATCTTCTTGAAACTTAGAACGAGGCCCATATTATTCTTCTTGATCATCAACCAAATTATTAAATTTTGCTCTTTCTTATTCCCTTAGGTTAAAGAGTTTAGGGATTATATTTATAAACAAGAGAGACCATCTTTAAGCCTTTTTTATTTAAAATTAATTTCAAAAAATAACATGATAAAGTTGATGGACAGCATATTTCATTGTTGTTGGTACACTATATTCTTTAATAAGAGATAGTGGATAAAATGCATTAAATATTAATGCAAGACACTGTTTTTTTTTTTT